TCTTGTTGATGACACTTCGGCGGCAGATCGTCGCTCATCACGTCCATTGGATCTTTTTTTTTTTTTTTCAGACTGATTGCTAATTAGGATAGCTTTTTTGGTGAGTTTTATCTTTAAAACTTGTTAAACTTGCAATTTTCCTCTCTTTTTTTCTTTATTCGGGCAGATCTTGGAGGGAAGCAGAGAAAAGACTTTAGCCAATTACACACAATTTACTTTAGGCTGAGCATTTTTCAGACTGCACCCAATGTCCCATGCAGCATTCATATAGTTTACAACTACTGTACTGTGTGGTAGCCTCTTATTATAGTGCTCACTTCAGCTTTGAATGCAAAAAGCCTACTTTGAAGAATAGACTGCCCCATCTCCCTTATTCTGCTCACATAACTGAATCCCTGGGAGAGGGAGCAGAGGAAAAGGAGAGCCTGAGAAAACAGCAATTCACACACCGAACACAGAGACCCCTAGTAGCTCAACAAATGAGTGTCTAGCCCTATGTCCATTCATATCGCCCCTCGGTCCGCAAGCCTATTAGCCAGGCATCGCTCCTTGAACATTCACTGTCGACAACATGTGGAGGCATCGCTATAGCAACCAGTGGATATGACATGTGCAATGGACGGGGACTCCTGAGCTGCTGAATATAAGGAGGGGCTCAGCCTTAACTAAATGATCGCAAAAAACCCAACCCCACCACCTCCCCATCTCTTTTCATTGGCACAGAGACGCTGAAAGGACTCACTAGTGGGGCTTCTGCACATTCTTCCGAGGCTCGGAAAATCAGGCGGGCATATCCCACATTCTTCTCCCTTTTCTTATTCTCTCCGACTCTCCCTTTTTTTTTTTTTTTCCTTTTTCTTCATCTTCGTGTTGAAGCCGCGGTCTTTTGTTGGCGCTGGGGGATGCATGGGACCCTCGCAGGGGAACTTTTGGAGAAGCGGACTGAGTGGGCGGCCGGGACGCACAGACGCTTCTTGGAGCTGCGGCGGGCGTCAGTGGTTAACCATGCTCTCTGGAATACAAGACTCAGCATCCTCCGTTTACTGCGAAATGTGCGCTCTGCCCCGCGACATGGATTTGGGTAATTATCTCCTGGCTTGAAACGTTTGTGTCTGGGTTTTCTTTTTTGTTTTTTTCCCCCCCGTTTTTAGTGTGCAAGTTTTAATGCGTCAAATGCGTAAAAGGCGCGGTAAAGGACCGGCTTTGAAAACTTGTCAGCAATCGTAACATCACATTGAAAGCTGGTTTTGCTTCCGATGTGAATGCAAATGATTTTCGTGTGTTGCAGAATATTTCACGAGCTGTGGTTTCACGGTTTCATTTCGTCTCATCCTTTCTGCTACGATAGTCTGCCGGAGATCGAATCTCAAACAGCTTATGGGATAAAATATGGTCGAGCATCGGGAAAAAATACGCATGCAAATATAGCCAATGTAAACGTGAGCTCGTCGATGCATGCCTTGTTAAAACTGGACCTTGAGCTCGGTGGTTTGCTGTGTGCACATCTGGCTGCAGCGGACAAAGTTTCTGTGCAGGTTCATCCTGCCTGGTGCTGCCCGGCTGCAGCTCCAACTCAGAAACCCTGAGATCTGCTAAATCCTCTCAGTGTTTGCACAAATTATTTTTTTTAATTATGTGTTCAGTTAAAATAAAATAAACGCAATTAGCTGTATCTGTTATAAATCTAATGCAACTGAGCTCTTGGTGTCGTGGTCTTAGATTTAATTCCAAAAATCTTGATTGGCTGAAAATTTCATGTTGCAGTTTTTTATGTTAATATGAGTGTGTCCATATGAAATTGCTTTATTTCTTTATTTCTCAAATTAATAATTGTGTTCAAAGACTTTTATGATTTAAATATGTGTGTGAAATGCAGGACAAACAATTTCCACTAATACTACATTCACAAAATTTCAGTAATTTTATAGAGTAGCCTACTTGGTGTCCCAGTGTTTTCTGTGAAAAATAGCATGAATTTTGCATTTCATGTGTAATCTTTTGTTATATAGATAGATATATAGAAATAGATAGAAACTACTTAAATTCAAACCTCTTAAATCCTCAATTGTTGGTGCAACTTTTTTTTTAAAACCTTGGTTTAGGGTTGGTTGAGGTTTGGCAGTTGTGTGTTTGGGAGGATTTTCCTCTTGTACTTCTTAAAGGTATTGTGATGTGAGTGAATGGATGTCCAGCCGCCCCAACAACTCCTCTTTGCTTGACCTTTCCTCTATCATTTGAATAATCCAGAGCACCGAAATCCATCTGCCCCTTGTCTCCTCTCAGATTGGCCAATTCACCAGACAGGGGCAATGTGAATAGAAGAGAGAAGCTGAAGAGGAAAGTCTGTTAGAGGCAGAGAGTAGTAACTCCACTGGGCAGTGTTTATTTTAAAGGAATCAAGAAAAATTAAGTTATTGAGGTTCAAAGGGTGAATTTTGATTATTAATAGAATTAATGGAGGGAAGAAAAATCTTTACTCCATGGTAGTATTTCATGTCTATCTTAAATCTCAATGCAAAATCCTGCTCTAACATTTGAAACTAAATATTTTTTGATTATAGTCATAGTCAACTAGTTACAATTTACTGAAAATAAAAATTTCATATATCGATACTTAACAATTCAAATGTTTTTTTTGTTTTAGTGAATAATTTTAGTTTGGTGTTTTTTAATATTTTAAACATTTGCATTAGAAGTATCTATTTTTAAGACGCACTCCAATTATAGTAAAATACATTTATTACAAAAATAAAATAAAAAAGCGAAGGGACAGACCTCAAAAGGCCCATGAAGGTAATTGTTAGCTTCACATCTCCTCCCTTTTCCTCCCCCTCTTTTTCTCTCTCTTTCTGTATCTCCTCTGGTTTCTTTCTAACACGATTACCGCCTTCAAACACTCTTTTATGCTTGCAGTGCATTTCAAGCCTGTTTGCTCCCACAGTGGAAATACTTTTTATTCATTTCAAGGTGTTTACCTGAATATTTTCAAGAGTAGCGGCAGATTGTAGAGGACCACGTCTTTGATTAACTCGATAAGACGTGTTTTTTTGTTTTTTTGTTTTCAGAATAGAGAAAGGATTTTAGTTGAATATAATAGCCTGGAGTTGTCAAGCAGGTTTGAACCAATAGGTCTATAGGGGGCACTTTGGTTTCAGAGGCAGCAGTCTTGAAGCACTACACTGATGTGACATACTGTTTCTACAGTGCAAAATATGCTGAATATTAGATATATCTAATGAGGGTTTTCAGGTGCTATATTCAGTCATTTATTGTGTGATTATGTCAGAGGTGATGCTGGTTGAAATACATTCTCAACAAGTACTTTAGCAAATGAAAATTGTGTTAATTTCTAAGTGTCGTTCCTGCTGTCTGTATGTTCATTTGATCGCCAAACACAGATGAGTCACTGGATTGAGGCCATTTCTCCCCTCTGTACCCGTATATGAGCCTCTTCAAACCTCTCAGTTGTTGCCTAACCTCTTAATGCTTGATTGAAACTACATGCTCGAGCCACAGCAATTGCAATCAACAGCAACTGTCGTCAGGCCCAACACAGTAATCGAAAAGACCTGGGCATCCACACAACCGCTAAAACATTGGCAATTACGAGCCACAAGGTCAAACCATATTGTTACTGGTCTGAGGTGAAGTGTCTTGTTTTGAAAATGGTATAACAAGATGTAGCTATCCTTCAGCTGGGGCCCATTAGACCCCTCAGGCTAAATGTCAGAGCTCTGCCATTTTTTTTTCTTTTTTTTTTTTTCATGTTGTAGATTTGATTCACTTCACCCATCAATCTTTCAATATTGCATGCAGGCAATTAGGAGCATGTTGATGTATTTGTGCACTGTTATTGATATTGCCCTTTTGCAGATGCATAGCTATTGGCATGTATGTAGCTGATAGAATTAGATCAAAGACTGTGGAGAAACTGGCTTTTATAAAAACTCCATGTTTTAGTGTCAGTCATGGAGAACAGTAAGGAGGATTTGTTTGTTTTTTTCTGTTTTTGAGAGTTAAATTAAAACTAACTTGGCAGGATGTCTGTATTTTATTAAATCAGCAAAGACAGTCTTGAACAGTATGGCTTTATTTTAGGTATCATTAATTATCCTTCCCAAACTGCTTGTAATTATCGCTGTTATGCTCTCAAAATATTCTGTATCACTGGGGTCCACAGGGAATTTATCATTACAGTAAATGGCCACGAGTGGACCAATTATCAACACAAAGGGCAATTCTTTAACCTACGCTGATAATAATCTCTTAGATGATATTACAGCACATTAAAACCTGCCATAGTGAGACAAACCCTATACTTTCCTGTTTGAATTAACATGCAATGTGGGTGTGAATATTTAAAAAAGGATTTTCTATTCAACTGGTGGTGGATGTGTGAAGGTCCAGTCGATGTCTCTCCAGTCCTGGTAGCCATTAGCTGTGCAGCTTGGGCCAGGACCTAATCCAGCCAAACTCAGGACCAGAGGAGCTAATTAAGCACAAGCTTTTAGTATCCCAGCCTCCTGTAGCTGCACAGTGCCAGCCCACCCCATGCCAGCGCTAAATGGGGTTGTAAATATCTATAGTGGGGCACAGTGTGAAGACAGCACTGGACAGGGGCTGGTAATAGGGGTTGACTGAGTCTTAATGCATATTATAAGGCCAGTATTAGAGCTGGCTAATGAGTGGGGGTGGGTCAGACAGTGGAAAGTGGGTGGAAGAAGGAAAGAGCGGGAGAGGAAGTGGCGGTAGGTAAGGAAGCACTCGCGGCGCTGTTGAGTCCACATTATTTTCACGGGAAAGTCAAGACAAGCCTTCAGGTGAAAATTGATGCACTGTAGACTTGATATGGAGGTTGCTGTAAATCAAAAACGACCACATCAATCAGAAAAAAGACATAGCATCCTTTACTGCTCTGACAGTGTGTTCTCTCTCTCTGTTTGTGTGTGTCCTCCAGAGGGGCAGCCTGACCCAGATCCCCGTGGTGAAGGAGACCAGGGTGGAGTCGGGCCAGTTCCTGCTGCTCTCCGTCCTCTGCATGCTCTTCATCCTGGTGGCGCTGGCAGTGTCCGCCACTTTCTTCTGCGTGCGCCAGCGATCCCACCTCCGCATGAAGGAGAAGCTGGCCAGCCTGGGGACTGACACCAGTACTGATGCCACCGCAACCTATCAGGTTAGACCAGCCCCCTCACTATGAGCCAATCAGGGGCCGGGACACTTGGCCCGCGCTCTGCCATTGGAAGAATACACACTGTCAGAATACGGTAGATTTTCTGATTGGTTTGTGAGTGTGTGTTTGTTAATGTGTGTATGTGTTTGCGTCATTCTCTTCTACCTGCTCTTATGGCGGTTTTTGGCTGTTGTGATGATAGTGATTTAGCTTTTTTTAAATAAAAATTATTGTTTTTGTTGTGCAGTGCAATGACTGTACATCAGCAATCACATTTTGTCAGAAATGTTATGCTTTTTATTTCTTGTATTTTTGATTTATTGCTCCAATAGATATTCGCTGCATCCAATTTCAACTCAATGCTCACCCGTGCCTGAGAAGTGTGTGCGTGTGTGTGTGCCGGGGGAACAGGCCGCCCCTATGACCTATTCCCTCTGTTCCTCCAGGGCCATGGACAGCCAGGGCTGTATTGATTTTCAGTGATGGGGCTCAGCTGTGCCCAGCATGGCACTCAGAACATATTTATCTGCATGTCGCGTTAACATTTTCAATATTTAATCAGGTTTTCGCAGGGTTTCTCTATCTATCAAAAGCTGGAGGTGTAACAGTGTTATAACAATGGCCACAAAGAACCGAAATAAATAAATAAAATGAATTCATTTTTTATCTTAGATATTAATTATGTCAGTTTTTGGTTATTATAAATATTCTTCAATATTTTTGTAGTCATGTTTTACTTTATACATATTTTATGTTATATAAGGCACCTGTTCTTTCTCAGTATACCTTTAGGGATTGGATAACATCTCTGTCAGGCGTTCCTGTGGGTGTGTTCTCTATGTTTGACAGATACAGTTGTTTGTGTGCTGTGAGAGAAAGATATTGTTAGATGGCAGCACATAGATGTTGTTTCCCAGCCTGTTTTCATTCTTATTAGTACTCTGAAAGAGGGAGGGGCGCAGGGGAAACCGTTGTCCCACGACTAGTGCTTCTCTCTGGGCTCCATGTGTCTCTCCTCTGACCCTCTCCGGTGCTAACAGCATCACACTGCCTGCTCCTGGGACAATTTTTCGGCTCCGGTACAGCGCGGCGCTTTGCAGAGATGTTGAGAAGTAGGATGAATTATGAGGTGGACTTGGATATTGCCCCGAGGCCAAGGCCCAGGGCACCGCTTCATGACTCTAATCATTAAAGTCTGACGGCGGGAAAGCTGATCCAAGAACAGGGCTTAGAGGGGCCTGTGTTCCAGAGGGAAATATCACTATGATAGATCATGAGATAGCATATGCTTTCACAATGCATTTTGTCTGGTCTGCCCTGCCCTCGCTGTTATTAATTGAGTATGGAAATGAATTCTGTGGAGATGACTAGCTCTGCCCCCCAAAACCAAACATGATGGGCTTTACACATTATGAATTTAACACTGAAAAACCAAGTGTGACCACACCATTTCGGGGGAAATCAGGCAAAGTTTATTTACACATGCATATGATTGCACAAGTCTGACAATAGGGGCTTTTTTCTTTTCTTTTCCCGTTCTTTTCATTCTGTGTATACCAGAGTAGATAATGCCTAGTCTTCAAATTTTTGATGTCCTGTCTCTGCACTAAGGCATGATGGGAGAAAAGCTGAGTCATTGGGAGAAGTGTAATCTTCGTCGCAGTGGGTCTTTTAGCGAGTCTCAGAAACCTGGAGATATCAATCAAAATAGAAAATTATACTTTACAATTGTGCCATTGCATTTTTATCTCCTTTGGTTCTCTGCGGTTATATATTTACAGTGGAGCTCCTGTTTGATTGATGGATAGATTCTCCCGTTGTGTTTCTATCTGTGCAGATTCTTCTTTTCTAAAGAATCTAGTTTTTGCTCTGTAGAGCTTGACTGTGTAGTGTGGTGATTTTTGTGCAGGATTTTAAAAGATCACTGTTTTTCACAGCTAAAAGATCCATTCTTAAACAATGAAGACAGTCATTGTGTTGCAGCCAGGTGTGACATACTGAATTTATTCTATAAATCGTGTAGGGTTCCTCAACCATGTATTTTTGACATAATTAGTATAAGCCCTATAATCCACAAGGATAAGCCATTAATCTAGAGGCAAGTGAGGACAGATCAAGTCAGTCGAGATACAGGATTTTACAAGGTGCATTTACAGCCTCTAACAGCAGGGATAAGCACACAACCTACATAAAACTATTGTTATGTGCATGAAAAGAAAATATGAAACCTTGCAAAGAGTCTGAGGGGAAAAAAACTGCATTTTTGATGATCAGTGCTTCAGCATTATATCCTGTAATCCCCAGGAGCTTTGTCGCCAGCGTATGGCGATCCGGACGTCAGAGCGAGTCGAGCGGCCTGAGACCCTGCGCCACTCGCGGCTCAACAGCGTCTCGTCCCAGTTCAGTGATGGCCCCGCAGCCAGCCCGTCCACCCGCAGCAGCACCTCCTCCTGGTGCGAAGAGCCAGTGCCATCCAACATGGACATCTCCACTGGTCACATGATACTGGTAAGGAACTTGCTTTGACTCCAAAGACAATGTGGGTAATGAGTCATGTGGCGAGGGAGAAGAGACGGTGAATAGATGGAAGTTGGTTAAGGTGTGGTTTGTTGTAAAGCCCTCAGAGACTTTTTGTGGTTCTTAGCATCGGATTATTACAACTAAACAACCACAACATGTCATTTCTCACTGACTGTGCACTTAACCTGCCAGGGTGAGTTTAGTGTAGTTTGAGAAACTTCCATGCTTTTTGGACAGGGGCTACTTGTACCCCAAGAGGTACTTCTGCAGTTGCCACTGGTAACATGGATTGTTGAGTTATTGGTTATATTAAGCAATTGAAATAGTTAGCTAGCTAGTTAATTGGTTAAGCAATTGAAATAGTTAGCTAAACATATTGTATTGTACAGTGTACAATTGAAATAGCTCAAATTGGATTAACATTTGAAACAGCTAGCTTAAAGTAATGGATGGTTGAAATAGTTAGTTAAACGTAATGAATAAACAGTTGGAATAGCTAAAAGTAATGGATAAACTGTTAAAATAGTTACCTAAATGCAAGGGTTAAATAGTTTAAACATCTTCTGCAAACAGTGTTGAACGAATGCAAACAACTCGATCGAAACGACCTGAACATTTACAGTTCAATATTTATTGTATCAATAAACCGTTTTATATCACTAACAACATCCTTCTTAAAATCCATTCAAATGATGTTGGGAGCTGTCGGGGGGTGTGGATGTAGGTGTAATCATCTGTAAGGGGCTTTGGAGATACGTCAGGCAGAAGAGGTTGGGAACGACCAGATCTAACAGGAATAGGCTGTTGAGGTATTTCATGTGAGCATATATATTATAGTGCTTTTAAAACTATGAATATGCAAGGCCCTGTGCTGAAAACCAACAGCTTGATTTTTCTCTGTTTATCTGTTTGGATGTTTCTTTTTCATTCCTCTCTCACCTCATCCTCCTCAGAACTCTGTTATCTTTGGGTTTTTTTTTTCCATCACTCTTCCCGCTGTTTTCTCACTCTTGTTTTATCTTGGCTCTGTTGTCTTCATTTTTTCTCCTCCAACTTTTTCCTCCCTTTACTATGTCATTTTCTCTCTTTATCATTCTGTCCTGCTTCTCTCCCCACTGTCATTTTCATCTTTTACCTCCTCCGTCTCTCTCACTGCTGCAGCAAAATAAGGTAGACATTGTTTTGCGTCATGGGAGCAGCTCAAAACTGAAATATCATTACCCATCTGATTGTCATTTGGAGGTTTTAGAAATTTTTATTTTATTTATTTTTTGGTTGAAAAAGCTTTCGGTTGCCAACGCTTCCACAAACACACAATGGATTGTTTTAATTTTGCACAACTTTCGCTTCATTCATTTGAGACAAGCTTGATAAAAGAGATGGATAGATGCCTTGCAGTGTTTCCATTAATGGAGAGAGCATTCATCACACTGCATGTCTAGCTTTTATATTGGGAGGCTATAATGAATGAGAGTGAATCTGAGTAATGCCTTGTATTGGTGGTAATAGATGGGTTTTGTTGCACTCGTCAAGGCTTGTTTGTGAAGCCCCTTTTGAAAACATTGACAATAGAAAAGCATTTAGCCCTGCAATAACAAAAGAGGCACTGTGAATCATTTCTAGGAGCTGTTATTATTAGCCCCAGTTTCTTCACAGCAGCAAAGCAGGCATTGCAAAGTAGAAAGGTAAAACACACAGGGACCTTTACTTCTCTTTCATGCCATGATTGACATGGAGATGTCCTATAGGGGTTCTTCTTTAAAATTCCACTGCCATCTCACATGAAACCATGTGTGAGATTGCCTTGTTATCACTGATCTCAGACCTATATTTTCCCATCTCGGCTCTCCTCTCCTCTCATCTCACCCCTCTCTCGCTCTCTGGAGCTCACACCGTGTGGAGAAGGATGATGAATACTCGGCTTTCCAAAGCACATATGCTGGGGGTCCTTTTTTTTTTGAGGCCCAATCACCCTACACACACACACACACACACACACATACAATATATACACGCATAAAACCACTGTGCTACTGCGAGGGTGCCGTCAGGATAAATGAACTACGATGTTGAGCCCCACTGTTCGGCCCACCTTAAGACTTAAAAAGTCTTGCATAACGACTTCCGACTTCAAAACTGAAATTGGATGCTTTTGTGTGCTGAGTCATCTGCTGTGTTTTTTCAGAGCTATGACACACCTCTGCTGTCTTACACTTTCTATCGTCTCTCTTTTGCCTTTTTCAGCTGCAGTATGGTGCTACAACCTTGCAAATGTTACCTACTAAGTGGTTAAAAACCTCAAAAAACAATTACCAGATCTGACATGTAAGCATGTGTTACTTACGTGGCTGTATTCCTGTGCTTATTGCTGCAGTGCAAATCCTTTCAGCACCATGGACAGCACTTTATAGTCACTAAACTTGTTATTCCTCACAAGCATGTGAAACAAAAAACACATGTCTGGAAACACAATGTCTAGAAACAGGGTCAAAATGTTGATACTGTTGCTATAGTGCTCCCTCGGCTTAATCACCTCTGTACTGGAAAGAGAAGAAAAATCAATAATTATGTAGGTTGAGGCTCTTTTTCATTATGTTGAGTAGTTATTGTTCAATTTTATGTGAAATGATGAATTATTTGCTCAAGTAAAATAGCCACTGACTCATGCAACATGCTCTGCCCTCAGTGGCTTTTACTCACAATTTTAAATTTAGTTTATGAGCCAGTCAAATTCCATTCAAGACAAAACAATGTGTGTTTTTTTTATTTAACTATTATTAGTCACACAAAAACATACATATTAATACCTTTTTTTCCGCCTCTCACGGCTGTTTATCATATCATAAAGCTCCCTGTACAAACTGTTACCAGTATTGTTCGTTTTAATTTGACAGTGGAGCTTGACAGTAATGTGTTACCTGTTGTGTCTGGCTCCCCTGGTTGTCCCTTCATCCTGATTTCACCCGGCACCCTCTGCTGCCGAGGAGACTGCTTAGGAAGGATTAGACATTGTTTCCCTGACACCCAGGCCTCCAATCCCAACCCTCTGATTGGCAGACATAATCCCCCCATTCACTAAACCTTCGTTACCCTGTCTCTGGAATACGCCATGGTCCACTGCCTCCCCCTAGGAACGGGAGGGCTTGATAAGGGCCTGCTGGCTGCATTGCATTAAGCTGCAAAAATATGAATTTGGAATGCAATCGATTCAGGGCATCGTTTGAATAGAATGGGATGCAATTCAGAGTGGATTTATCAAGTACATGGAGATGTAATATTGGTAGGGGAGGTGGGACGCTGTCAGGCTGGCAAGCAGAGAGTACTTGTACAGGGTGACAAGAGCATAGTGGTGACAGCCTCTGTCAAGTGGCCATAATGGCATGCTGTCATTTTCCAGGGAAGACAGCACTGTGTGTTTGCGTAGGCGATGCACAACAACACGCACGCAAATATATGTGTGTTCCCTGCTATTAGAATTGACATTAACTATTTTTTTTGCATGCATAAAATTAAAAGCTCAAACAGGGATGGCTCCAAGTAGAAAAAGCAGAAATATCACTTTATGTCATTAATGGGTTCAGATAGAACACATTGTGCTGTTGTGTTCTCTCATTATGCAGCTGCATTATTCGCAAGAGTTGCTTTTTTTTGTTCTCAGTGTGGCTTTTAACACCTGAGTGGCACCTTTGGTCCCGTATCTAACAATAAAACTTTGATTTCCATTGTCTGTAGGATTTGTAATGTTCTTATAAGTCACCTAATATGCTTTGCATGCATGCTGGAGATGTCTGAATTCACAAGTAAAGGGTAATTGCCTATTATGCGTTGGACAAGCTTATTTGTGATTATCATCTAAGTAGGAATTGTATATATCCTGCAAAGGTTTGGATTTCCCTTTTGACAGACAGGAGTGAATAAATCGGATGTAACAATGGAGTGTCACCTCTCTGCTCAGCCTACCTTTACCGCCTTTAATATGGGATAAAAACCCGGCACATCTGGGTATCACTTTCATTGTATTAGCCAGCTGATCCCTGACATCAGTTTATGAGTCTGTAATCTTCTGCCTCACACAATAGCGGACTAAACCATTTAACCCCATTGGGAGGGGAGCCATGATACAGGAGTGAAAGCGAAACACGGCACTATGCTAAAAAAGGCCGTCTTGCCAGCTACAGCCTCTAAGCTCCCTAAGACTTGCCCTGGTTTGGGAGAATACACACACACACACACACACACACACACATACACAGGCCTCGTCCCCTCCCCCTTTTCTTTTTCCATCTTTGTCTCTCTAGCGAATTCAATTTTGTCTTCTCCAAGCGACGGCTTAAATGCAGACAATCTTATCAGTGGCTGTGCAAGCAGTGAGGGACGTGATTGAAACACCCCTGAAGTATTTCCAATGCAGACAAACCTTTCAGGAGTCTTAATTGTGTGTGATTTTTTTTCTCTTTCTCAGTCAAACACACATGCACAAACACACGAAGACACAAACATTAGCACACCTTCCCCACCTAGATCTTCAGCAGCCTCCTCCTCACCCAGCTGTTATGCTATACAACAGCTTAGAACAATAATGCTCCATGACACCTGATCATGGCTTTAATGGAAAGTGTTGTTGTCACGGATTTAGTGTTTTTGGTCCAGTTTATTTATTGGTTAGCCTGTGGTGAAGAAAATACAATGGAAAAAAATAACAACAAGCTATTTCAAGCCAGCTATGAAATGGGGAAGATGAATTGTTTCATGTTTCTGGTTTAATTAATGCAAATTTGCTGCAAAACAAGCACAAAATATCTTTTTACAGCCACATTTTGAGATAAATTCTCTCTTTCGCATGGTTCTGGCTTGTTACCTGAAATGGTGGCTAAGGTGGTGTCTGTTTTCCTCTAGTCATACATGGAGGACCACTTGAAGAACAAGAACCGTCTGGAGCGTGAGTGGGAGGCCCTGTGCTCCTACCAGGCAGAGCCCAGCGCCTGCAGTGTGGGGCAGAGTGAGCAGAACTCTAAGAGGAACCGCTCAGACGCCGTGGTCGTATGTGAGTCCATTCATTTTTTTCTTTTTCTGTTTTTTTTTTTTTTTACTGTGAGACTGTTCCCACCATTTTACAAGGCCAACCCAGTGAGTAACTGTTGTTGAAATATTTGTGAACAGATGCTTCAAAGAGCTACATAAAACCAGTCGGATAAACAAGCCAAAGCGACACTGTTAAGATATGTTTCCAAACAAATAATCCGTCTAAGTATTGTTTTTCCTGAAAACAAATAAAGGACATTTGGGTGAGAAAGTTGTTATTTTGCAATTCAAATCAACTTGCTTTGAGATGAAATTGACCGAAGACAAAGCAATTTTATCAACTAACTATATTATTATAGTAATACAGGAACAGTAACTGAACATCCACTGTGTGCAAAGATGCTAGTATTTCAGAGTTTGGGAAAGTTTACATTCAAACAACCTCACCCACAAGTATGTTATGTTAAGTGTCATTTTAATTACATTTGAATGAATGATACTCTGCTATAGTGCTAGGGCTGGTTAGCTCTACCCTGAAATACACAAACAGTGCAGGTCCTTTATGCCATGAGGACATTTAAACCAGGGACATGTAGACTATGTACAAGTCCATATTAAGACCCATTTACAGGATTCTCATTTTTAAACCAACTCTGCTGGAAACATTTAAATGTCAGCTGGAGATGGAGTTTTCAACCAATCCTGAAATTCTTGTGGTAGCATTAGGTTATAGTAGCTAGCTACAGCGGATATAATCATCTAACAACATCCCACTATCCCCACTATTATTTTTAAACTGCATAAGCCTTGTGAGAACGGAAATTACACCAACTTTATACTCGAGTAATCACCCTTAAATACCCTGAAAACCATCCAAATAATCAGTCTATTATTATGAGTAATGGGGAACTAAAAGAACATAACATTTTGCGCCAAAGTTAGAACAGTTTGGATTATTTTTCTATATTTCTGTTTTTGTCTGTGCTCTTTGAGTGGGCGGGGCTCAGTATGAAATGTGATGACAGTTGGTGGGTTGCTCAGTCGGTCAAATCAGATCGAACCACATCCACACAGCCCTGACGAAGAGTTTGTGTTCACCTCTAACTTATATTTATTATCATAAATAATAACTAATGTCTTTTTAAAGTTTTTTTAAAATGTGTGATTTAGTCCTGAAGTTAAGAAAAAGATTCGAGGCCAAGTTTTCAGTGGCTTCAACTTGAAGT